CGGTAAGTGCGTCAGGGTCGATAAGTGCGTCAGGGTCGATAAGTGCGTCAGGGTCGATAAGTGCGTCAGGGTCCAGAATCCAGAGCTCAGACTTTGCCCCGTGCTGGCTTTGAAGCGTGAGTTCTCCTGTTTTTAGCTTTTCTTTACATTTTTTTTGCTCCATTATGTCGCTTAATTGTGTGTGGGTCAAGTGCTAATCTTCAGTTGTGTCATAAGAGGAGCAAAAGCAGGGTGGATGGGGTCAATTGTTGTGCAATGTGCCGCCAGCGCTACTCTCTTTTCTGATTAACTTCTGCACTCGTTTATTCATTTCCATTCCTCATCAGTAAACTTACTGCCTCCTCCTCTTAGATTAACACAGTTTTATATCGTGCATTCTTATTTAGTTTGATTTGGGCTGTATGATTCGTTAAACCGCATCAAAGCCCGAGACCGGCTCGGCCCGCGCATTAATCACATTATAATGGCCCGGACTGGCCCTAATCTGGGTCGGGCCGGGTTCAGGTTAGAAATGACTGCTCTACTTGCTGTGTACATCCTGAGTACTTTTTGAGTACTTACAGGGTACTTACCCAGTATGTTCCTGGTAGTTTCAGGTGTTGCTACCAAAGCATTTATTTGTATTTTAATGAAACAGTTTATAAAATAATTTAGACTTTCTGAACGTCTGTTGAAAAAGTCAGAGAGCTGCATTTAATTCAGCGTTTATTAACATTTTATCAAAGGTAACTTTCATTTTTATTACTGTCACCTAAATAACTTGCCATGTTTTTGTAAAACAGCTCACTGCAATAACTCATAAATATTGTACGTGTGCTAAAGATGATTTTCTGTTTGTTCCCATCAGAACCTGATTCTGACGTAGGAAATGAAACTTGGGCCACACTTCCTTTGGCTGCGAGTCACAATGGAAGAATGAGCTAACATGCCAGCAAACTGCTAGCTCAAACAGCTACTCAAATATTTATTCCATAAAGTTACATAAAAGTGGATGAGAAACCCCAAAATTCCTTTGTAGTTATGAATTTAAACAAGTTTCTTTTAGTTTAGTTCAAAGCTACAAGGATCCAGCAGAGGGAGACCAAACAGAAGTTAATGTTCACAAACAGGAAGCAGATATTTTTACACCTGAACGTTTCATGAGTCACTCAGAGCGTCCAGTGAACCCCCTGGTTGGTGCTGCGACCGTGACTCAAGGCAGTCTGGGTTTAGGAGCCTTCAGAACGTTCACAGTTTCTGCTACCATCCTTCAGTTGTTACAAACTGCCGTTCCAAAAGCTCTGCCTGGTTTGTGTTTACTGCTGCCCCTCTCTGAAAGGTATTCATGTTAGCAGGACTGATGAGTCCTACATGTTCCACCTTGTGCAGATGCCAAACAGAAACTCGTTAGATGCTCTAAAGAGTTCTGGTCAGATGACATAGAAGCTACGGTTACCTCACCTCAGAGGAAACTGATAAACACGCAACACGAGCTGATGAGACACGCCAACGCCTGCAGGTCCAGTCTGGTTTAGTGTCAGCAGCTGAGGGTGGTGTATCTGCTGCTCCGTCACCTGGAGCAGAACAAACATTCTGAACGAGAACTGAGGTGACCCCAAAACTCACCACGGTGCCAGATGTGGGAACCGTTCAGATTCTCCAGGAGGAGCTGGGAACACTGCAGTCAGAACCAGGCTGAAGACCATGCTGCTGCCAGCATGGTAGAAGGTAGGATGGTTGGTTGGTTTGATGGCTGGTTGGTTGGTCAGTTGAGTGATGCATTGGTTGGTTGATGAGTGAGTTGGTTAGTGAGTTAGTTGGTTGGATTGGTTGATGAGTGAGTTAGTTGGTTGGTTGATGAGTGAGTTAGTTGGTTAGTTGGTTGGTTGGTTGGTTGGTTGGTTGGTGAGTTGGTTGGTTTGTTCATTGGTTGATGAGTGGGTTGGTTGGTTG